TTAATACATAAAACTATTTCAACTGAATTAGTATTTCATTTAAATATAGTATTTAATGAGTTGGGTGAACTTGATAAATTTGGGCATTTGGTTCACACAAATCATTTGTTCATACGAATCGTTATGAACTAAATTTTCTGAAAAAGGGGACCTCTAAGACAGGGTTTGCAAACATAATGAAACTATTGTTATAGAATTTGTAATCACAATATTGTGCAATGCAATGTGCATGATGGTTGTGGGGGTGCAAAATTACGATAAACCATATGTACGACAGAGGGTTCGACAGTAATAGCAATAAAAAAAATTGTATAAAAATGATTGTTTTATTTTATTATTACTTAACATTTCTTATGAATATAAATATAAAGAGTGGATGTGTATTATGTAATGTTGTATGAATGCAAAATGAGCATGGTGAATGAGTGGAAATGCCATTGTACTGCATTAGTATGAATAAGCCTATGAGTGTTGAAATGACTGTACATTTGGCGCATTCACGCAAATATAGCGCAAACACATCATTCATAACCNTGTTGTATGAATGCAAAATGAGCATGGTGAATGAGTGGAAATGCCATTGTACTGCATTAGTATGAATAAGCCTATGAGTGTTGAAATGACTGTACATTTGGCGCATTCACGCAAATATAGCGCAAACACATCATTCATAACCTGAAACGCGTGTATTATTTCAATCAATACTATTCACGAAAGCTATCATTATATTCACCACATATACTGACCCCCAATGGCTTCGCACGTAAGCGTCCGCTCTCTAGTTTGACGTAACGTTGTTTGTGAATGAATTGGAGACCGGTTTAGCGCATTTCAGTACAAGAGTACACAGTATTACAGCATTTGAATCACATTTTTGCCATTAAAGGCCATATTTGCTATACATTTAACATTAATTGTTTCCCTAATTATTATAAATTATGTTTAATTCAGTTACTATTGACTGCATTTCAAACAACAATTAACGGTAAGTTTGACTCAATTTAGTGATTGAAGCGATTGTATGATTGAATCAATGTTTGGATGTATTAATGTTGAGCCTTAAGGCGAGTCCACGTGGAGTCATGTCGTGTCGACACAACACCTAATCATACCATTGATTGTGTGGGCATTGAAAGCATATACTATTCAATTGCTATTCATTTAATGATTTTAATCATAATTACATTATAATTAACGAATAGATTACTAAATGAATACATTTATAGTGTTTTAGCGCCCAATGTATGCATGCGTTGACCCATAGGACACATGTCTCGCATATGGCATCTCATTATTGCCTAACTTTCAAACAATTGTTACTTTTGTTCACTATTTTATTTAATTAGTCTTTAATTTAGTTATAAATTATAAGTTATAATCATTTAAGATTTATGTATTTATATATGGATTTAATTAGTAATTTTTTAATATAACTGAATGTATTGTTTAATTATTAGTTTAATTAAACTATAATTCATTTATAGTTAACTACAGTTTTAAGTGAACAACAATGAGTCCATTTTAGTGATCACTAAAAAAATTGATTAAATCTATATTTGAGTTAAAATATGAAAATAGTTTTTAGTTAAAGTCTAATGAATGAAGTGTTGAATGTATTGAAGAGTGGATGCGTTTTGTCAAACCATTTAATCCAATCGCTTATAAAGCTATGAAATTTGGATTAAAGTATTGATTGATTCGCTAAATGACTGACAAATGAGTTTTTCTCGGACTCTTGAGATGAGCAGAGATTCTAGCGTTTTGTGACATATTTTCAGATGACTTCCGATAGTTTGGAGGCGACTCTTATAGACGACAGTTGTTTCGGTGACGTCTTCACAATGCAGTCCCAGTTCTTGGATGACTTCGAGTTCGGTTTAGAGGCCAATAATATCAACAGTTTATTGGAGTTGTTTGAAGAGCACGAGAAGAATAATGACCGCAATTTGAATTACTTGACTATTAATAGCAAAAGTAATAATTATAATAATATCGTCATTAAAGCCAACTCTGAGGCTTCCAGTGATAGGAAGAAAGACAACGGTATGGCAATGATATCGTCGCCTAAAGTGCATAAATCACGTACCACTGGATCCTCCATCATATCCAACACCAAAAGCAAAGGGATATCACTGTTGGCTAAACCCAAGAAGAGTTCCCCAAAGCGTTCCCTTCTCAGTATGAATGACAGGGATTTCGACTCCTTTTCCTCGTATTTACTTCAAGAACACGACTATTGTTTGATGACATCGAATGACAGCAAAAAACTTTACAACAAATTACCACAATATTTGACACAATTGTCTGATGAAAGACTGAGCGACTCTTCACAGGACACGAGTCCCACATTCGATAAGATTCCTAATTATATCAAAGGATTTCTTAATTATAGCGATAATATAGAAAACATTGAGAGCGACGACAATATCTTAATTGAATTAAATGAAGGTTTGACTCATTCTTCATATCATTATTTGAAAATTTATTAATTGATATTTGTTTCCAAAGCTTATATAGAAGTGTCGGATGTATTCTTCGATAATGAGATGCAATTTGAATCCAAATTGAATTCAGAATTGTTTGGTGAAGAAGAAGAGGAAGATATGAATTCCGATTCAAGTAATTATTCGTCTCTTATGTCATCTGAAGAGTCAAAAGATATAAAACAAATGAGCGCTTTAGACGACCATCAGTTGAGTGATCAAAACGAACAAAAAGATTATATAAATAATAATAGCGATAATAAAGTAATGAATAGAAAGTCTAGATCTAGAAGTTGTGAAAAGATTCATAAGAAGTACTCGTCATCGACGACGAGGAGGAGACGACTGTCGACGCGTTCATCAGTTGACAGTTCATCGGATAATGAGAGCTCTCGGAGCAGTTCGTGTTCGTCGTGTTCTTCGTGTGATTCGTATTCGAGTAGAAACTCAAACGAAACGAAAATTAATTTCAAACAATTTTCCACTAGTATTATAAGGAATGAGAAGAGCGGACAGAACTTCCGGAGAAAGCGGTCGTTGAAAGAGAGTTATTGTCAAAACAATAATCGCTCGAAGATTAGAGCAAATTTTGAAATTAAATCTCGTAATGAAAGTGTAAATAATGTGAAAAATATTCGTCAAAAATCGGGTTCAATGAACGCAAAGAAAGATATCGACGAACGAAAGATCATTTATGTCGGGAAAATACCCGACGGCACCACCAAAACAGATATCCGCCACTGGTTTGGAAGGTTTGGGGCCATCAAAGAAGTGAGCGTTCATTTCAGAGATTACGGCGATAACTATGCGTTCGTCACGTTCTACAAGAGATGTGATGCTTATGAGGCCATTGAGCGTATGTCTTAAGCCAACGTTTTTGCCACTTTGTTGTGACATTGATTTGATTGATTACAGATGCGAATGAAGACTCGCGTCACCCGAAGTTTGACCTGAGTTTTGGCGGTCGGCGAAAGTTCTGTAAGACTCGTTACGAGGATTTAGGTCTGTCTTTGAATTAGGTTTCAAAGAGTTTGTTATTTAATTGGAAATTATTTACAGACTATGCAGAGAGCGATACATTCAATTCAGATCACATGGATTTTGATTCATTGCTTCGTTCGACTCAAACAAAGATCAATCGATAGACATATTATTGTATTATTATTTAATACAGGAATTATTTAAATTGTTTAAGCGATTAATTTATTTTTAATGAATTATTTAATCAAATCTATGATCACATCTTAAATTTAATTATTTAATGAATTTTTTAAATAATGAAACAAACTTTTAATTAATAAAGATTTGATTATTTTGGAAGAAAAATGTGTTTCTCTGTCATTCATTTAATATTTTATACGATTCACACGATATTAAGATTTTCCCACATATTTGGGTAATGCCTGCAAATTGACAACAAATTTGAGTTATACGACTAGTTTTGGGATTTGTTTTATAATCAATTATTGAATTAATATAGCCTTTAATAAAACATGTATAAACCATGTATAAGATGGTGAATAGAGTTGATTTGTAATGGTTTTTTACACTCGCAGATAATTATATGATAACAAAACCCACAACTTTATTGTACTGTTTATATATAATTGATTGATTCATTGAAATTATTGATAAATACTTGTAATCAGATTTCAATAACCATAAGTTATATTACATAACCATAACTTACTAACAGTAATACAGTATATTCTAACAGAACATTGCTTTTGTATTATAATACTGCTCTACAAGAATGCTTTCAATGACTACTGTTAATGCAATTGCATATATAAATTGAAATCTCTATATAAATATTTCACTTATCAATGCATTTGATTTCTTGATCGTTAATTCAAACAATTTTCTCAGTTTAAAGTTAAATAAATAATAATTGATTAAAGAATTAAATAAAACTTTAAAGGAAATGGTATTGTATTTATTTGCAGAAAAGCGCAATTTTAGAGTCATTTCAAAATAAAGATATTAATAATAAATAAAATAATAGTTTTATAAGAAATTGTATAAAATGTTATGAAACAAGAATAGTATTTAGGGAATCGATCTATGAATTGAGACCGTGTTTTGAGGGCTAAGTATTCTGTATATAAGGCATAGAGAAGTGTTAGGGTATGTATGGTATGGAAAGCGTCGCATTGCAGTCACCGCCAACTTATCGATCGCTTTTGTAGTATTGATTGTTTTGAGTGACTTTGCTATCGATCGCAACCAGAATGTAGTGGCGATAAAGTTCTTGAATACTACGTTATGCTATAGCAGTGAGAATATGTAGTTTTGCAGACATTTGTTAGGCATTGAAGTGAACACAGAGACCGAGGAAGTGGTGTTCAGTGCAAACACTGCACTAGTGTTGAGGCCAAGTGTTGGCAAATGGAGTAAATTCAGTGATATTTCTCATATTTTACTCACATTTGTCACAATTAAGTCTTAAAGCATAAGCAAATGAATGCATTAATAATCGCCTATAAGTTGGCTTTGGTGTAGGGCTTTGAGTGCTTGCAATAAGGCCTACATTGTTTGGTTGTTAAGCAAACACAGCATCCCATCGATCCCTAAGCATCCCATCATCTGATTTGTTCTCCCATTCCATCGATGGCTCCAATTATCACAGCCTTTGCCCACATTATGTATGGTATGGAAAGCGTCGCATTGCAGTCACCGCCAACTTATCGATCGCTTTTGTAGTATTGATTGTTTTGAGTGACTTTGCTATCGATCGCAACCAGAATGTAGTGGCGATAAAGTTCTTGAGTACTACGTTATGCTATAGCAGTGAGAATATGTAGTTTTGGAGACATTTGTTAGGCATTGAAGTGAACACAGAGACCGAGGAAGTGGTGTTCAGTGCAAACACTGCACTAGTGTTGAGGCCAAGTGTTGGCAAATGGAGTAAATTCAGTGATATTTCTCATATTTTAACCACATTTGTCACAATTAAGTCTTAAAGCGTAAGCAAATGAATGCATTAATAATCGCCTATAAGTTGGCTTTGGTGTAGGGCTTTGAGTGATTGCAATAAGGCCTACATTGTTTGGTTGTTAAGCAAACACAGCATCCCATCGATCCCTAAGCATCCCATCATCTGATTTGTTCTCCCATTCCATCGATGGCTCCAATTATCACAGCCTTTGCCCACATATTGGTTGCAATTGTTTCTCATTTATAACTGTTATTCATATGAAGTAATTTAATGTAAAGTTGGCTCAAGAATTCATAACTAATGGCAAATTCTCTCATAAATGAATAAAATTGTGATATAATAATGGATGAGAAGAAAACCAAAATAATTGGTATCGGAGACCAATTGATGAATAAATCGGTGAAAACTACTCCAGTCCTCATTTTGCCAAATCATAGTTACGCTAAACATGTGTCGGATATAAGCAATGCATCACAATATTCACAGATAGATAATAACGGCAACTCTGGGGTGAGTTGTGTCCCGAAGCTTAGCGTTCATTATATCGTCTCATTGAATAACGAGCCGCCAATCATCAGCTCTGGTAAGCATTTGGATCACGAAATCTCGAGTCATATAAAGACAGAGATCATTGACGGCGAGAGGAAGTGCTTGATCTCATTGCCTTTGGACACCAGTTGTCACAATGACTGCGATTCCAATACTCTGAAAGCAAATAACTCGATGTCTAACCAAAGACTTCTGATAAGTCCGACAGACTTCTTGACTCTAACCGAAGATGGAATCACTCATAAGAACTCTGCGGTCAGAAAAGATGTAAACCTGTCTGCGAGTAGTCTTGAGATCATTCGACGCACTAATGTTGACACAAATTTTGCCATTTGTTTGGACCGGTATTGCGAATCACCTCTTCTTCTGGAGGCACACAAAGACTCGCAACTCATTTGTGACGACGAGATCTCATGCAACGGAAGAAATTCAAGACTCTCTGAAAGTCCAGAGGATATGACAACCGATGAGTTATTCGCAAACACTTTCGGAACGGATCAGTCGACCTCTTTGAGAGAAGTGGTCACTCCTATTGAGGTGGAGAGCGCTAGGAATACACCAATTCATCTCAATAAAGAGATTATGATCTTAAATAAATGTAAAACTCATTGCGAAAGTAGTCTTCTTTACGAAGACATAAAGCCATCGATGGAGACAATTGACGTAAAGCCAGTTCTCACAACTTTGGATCCGTTGGAAACTACAACTAATAATTGCAGTTCTCAGACACAAACAGACAACACATTCTCAGTGATCACTTCCCAATCAGACATTAATGTCTCGACATCACAATCACTGGCGTTGACAACACTTGACATAAAAGTATTGCCGACCGGAATGTTAGCCAAGGATTCAATATTATTGGCCAATTTGGCGGCCGCTTTGCCCTCATCTCTCACTTCCAGACAAATAGCACTTCAGGTGATCAGAGAAGACGGCACTTCTCTTGTCTTACCATTGAATACCAAACATGAAAACAATGAAGTATTGTCTACAAAGGAGGGCCCCTCCGATCTGGGAGTCAGTACTTCAGTGGTGTTGGCAGAAGTGGTTGCGCCCAATGAGTCCATCAGACCATTCAAATGTGAATTATGTAATTCAACGTTCACTCGATTAGGCAATTATACCCGACATAAGAAAATACATTCCTATCCCTCTAAGGTTTGTATATTTCTTCAAAGGTTCCTATCTTTCAAACACAAACTCTTATATTATTGTCCATCACTTGATAGGAGGACCAGCGCTTCCGGTGCGACATTTGTAGCAAGTCTTTCATACAACGATGTGATTTGGCCCGACATCTGCACATACATCGCGGCACAGGTAATGTCACCCATACTCTACTCCAGTGCTCCCATACTTTACTGTCACAACTAATGCCATATAATTTAATAACTGCTGATCAGAACCGCATCGGTGTTCACAGTGTGGAAAGGGATACATAAGACACAGCGATTTGGTTACTCATCAACGGTTCCACAACAAAGAGTAAATCATACAAACATTTGTATAGTAATCATGAAATTAATTACTTTTTGAATGGGAAAACAGGAAAATCTTTTCGTGTCCGCACTGTTCCAAAGGGTTCTGTCAAAGAGGTATGTATTCAATGATAGTGTGATCGATGGCGCGGATGTAGTGATCGTTATTTTATTGTTTGTTTGCTATTTTAGGTGATCTGAACCGTCACTTGCGATCAATTCATTTACAGTTAAAACCAATTCTTTGCTCTCATTGTCATAAGAAGTTCGCCAAAGAGGAGACACTCTTAAGACATATAAATTCTAGTCATAGGGATCTCATTGAAGATACAACTGATCCGCAATTTAAGTGAAATTCCCGTTATGTTTGTTTTTGCAATCTTTTACTTATAACTAATTATTATTATTATTATCATTAATTATTATTATAAATAATAATGAATTTAATTATCATAATTACAATCAATTCATTCATTCATTTGTGTTATAAATATTGAAATTAATTACAAAAATAATTGAATTAAATGTCAATATAATAATCAGTTTACTATTACATCAATTAATTGTTAGGTTTTTGTCAATAAATAAAATCATTTAAAAACTCAATTGAATTTTATTTAATTATATTTTTAAAAATTATTAAAGTTATAATAATATAACATGACAATTGAATGACCATGTAACATGGTCCATGTTCAGCATTCATGCAACATTTGATTCTGTGATGAACTAACTTTTATGGCTCAACTTTATATGGGGTCAAAACTAGGTAATGTGCCTCATATGAGCTTAAAGCCCTGGTCAGAGGTTCACAGAGCTGGTTTCAAAGTTTGCCTCTTGTTGACCTAGTTTGAATTAGTTTTAATTGTTACAATCATGTTCAATAAAATGATGTAGAGCACAAAATGGTCAATACAAACAAAATGCTCTATAACTCCAACTTTGTATAACTCGAAACCTCTAGAACTCGAATAAACATTTGATCCGAAGTTTGAGATCTGTATTCATATATGACTACAGAAGGACTGCAAGAGAGCTAACGTTAACCACAACTCCATCTGTGAGTCAATGAGTGAAATAACAGACAATTGTTTACAAATATATAACGTTTTAGTGGTATTTGGGATCAATTGAACGATTGTCTTATAACTGACACCACAATGAATGTGAGCACGAGATCCGTGTCTTCAATAATCAAACGCAAAGCTGACAACCAATTGGACGAAGAGATCAATGAAGACGAACCCAAGAAGAAGACCAGAGATGAGTGGCGAAAGGCTAAGGAGTTGGAGGAAATGCGAAAAGCGGGAACCGCTCCCGCACTCCAAGACGAAGAGGGCAGGTATGGTCACTATCATGACTGTGATTGACTGATCCATTGATGCAATGCTAACGTGTGTAATGTGTGTAATGCCATGACAGGGACATCAACCCACATATCCCGCAATACATATCGTCGACGCCGTGGTATTTCGGTTCGGAAGGACCCACTCTTAAGCATCAAAGACAACACGAAGAGAAAGTGAAAGACTTCGCCAAAATTGAGGACCACTTTGTGCGTGGATTGAAGGGCTCGACAGCGACCCGATACAGACGCGGCGGGTGTGAGAACTGCGGGGCAATCACTCACAAGAAGAAGGATTGTTTGGAAAGACCGCGAAAAATAGGCGCTAAATATTCGGGCGAAGACTTCGCGGCCGACGAACAGGTGTTGCCGGACCTGACTCTGGACTTTGACGGGAAGAGAGATCGTTGGAATGGATACCAACCAGAGATGTATAAACTGGTGATCGAAGAACACGAGAAGATTGAAGACGCGAAGAGAGTGTTGAAAGAGGAGAAACTCAAACAAGACTTACTCAACGAAGAGGTGGCCAAAGAGGCGAAGGAGGGAAAGGATGAACCAACGATGCGTTGGAGTCGGACTCGGATGACGACGAAGAGGACAAATACGCGGATCACATCGATATGCCGGGAACTAAAGTGGACTCAAAACAACGGATTACTGTTAGGAATTTGCGTATAAGAGAGGATACGGCCAAATACCTCCGCAACTTAGACCCGGAGTCCGCTTTCTATGATCCCAAGACTCGGGCGATGAGAGAGAATCCATACAAGAGTAGCGGCAAAACTGCTGAGGAGTTGCAATACGCGGGCGACAACTTCATTAGGTATACGGGAGACACGAATGAGGTGTCAAACGCACAGCTGTTCGCGTGGCAGGCGATGGAAAGGGGTCTCGATATTCATCTTCAGGCGGAACCGACGAAAACAGAATTAGTGAAGAAACAAATAGACGACAAAAAGGTGAACGTAAAGGAAGTGTTTCGTCAAAGTATTATTGATAAATACGGCGGTAAAGAGCACTTACAGACACTCGACCCTCAACTCAAGTTCGGCCAAACGGACAGTTATGTCGAGTATTCACGTCGCGGACAAGTCATCAAAGGCTGTACTAAACCTAATGTGAGCTCTATTTACGAAGAGGACGTGTTTGTCAACAAACACACCGCCGTTTGGGGCTCTTTCTGGGACAACGGCCAGTGGGGCTATAAGTGCTGTCAATCAGTCATCAAAAATGCTTACTGTACGGGAGATAAGAATAAAATACAATATTATATGTAATTTTGTTCATTTCATTATATTTTTTAAATATACCGCAAATAAAATCATTTAATTGTAAATTAAAATTATAAAACGTGTATTAAACTTTTTAATTATTAAATGAGCATATAGCAAAATTCAAGTTTAGTCAAAGCAGCCCAAAATAGTATTTATCAATGATAAATTATCATACTAAATAGTATTATTAACTAGTATTATAGTAGTTATTATAGGATAATAAAAAAAACGGTCAAATATTTGTCAATTTTTATGATATGACGATAATTATATATGAGTACCCAATAATTGGTGTACATATGAAACTATTAGGCATTATTAATGACTTATTTTGAATTATCGATTTATTAAATTATAGCAAAAATTAGAAAATTCTTTCAAAAAATGGGTCCATTATTATAATTGAATGAATACTACATTTATATATAGCAAACCATAAATCTTACAAGTGTTATAAAGTATACGAGGAGTTTAGTTATGCTTTCTATTAATTAGTATTGATTGTTTGCACAAATTTAACATTAATGCAATTTTAGCACATTTACGTTAGTATTTTTAATTTGTGACCTTAAGCCTACTTAAACTAAAAAATATTGTTCTGATTAACTTATTTTAAAAGTAGTTTAGGGATTATGTGATTTTAAATTGTTGGTAAAATTGATTAAATTGACCAAAATTAGAGATTTTCTTAAAAAAAGTGCAATTTCTATTAAAAGCTTAAGTTTTGTCATTTGAAACACAAATCATAGCGAAAAGACGTCAGAAAATAAATCCAAAACGAAATGAATCTAAATTTAGACTCAAAACAGAATTCACACAAAATAACTATTAATAAGTTTTTGTTGTTGTGTTTCATTCATTATTTATATAGTGTTTTG